AGTTCTTTTTTCTTCAAAACAAAAAAGGAAAAAGAGAAAGGGGGGAAACAATTGAGAGAAAAGTTTTTTTCCTCCTCTTTTCATCACAGAGAGAGAGAGAGAGAGAGAGAACACTTGCGATTTGGACAATACGTGCGAGGCTTTACTCTCACAGAATACACGTCCTGCCCATGGCATGCGACAACAAGAAGTCGCGATCACCCTTCTGCCTCTCTGCTCAGGTAATCATCCCAGCCATCATCCAGGTATTTATACCGTACGTCTCCAGTCCTTCCCCACCTATCTATCCTCTATCCCGTAGTATACTCTTTCTTCATCACGTCGGTAGTCGCAGAATTTCGCCGTCACACTTTACGCCGCTAGATGTTGATCTCCCAATTGTCCTCCTACTCTTACTATTCTCTCTCCTTCCATATCTGCTTCTGATCCCAAATCCTCTCTGATACGTCCTTCACGTCGTTCACGCACTTTCTTCCTTATCCGGATATAATCGTCCTCGTAATTTTCACCAACGTCCCTTCCCCGTATTTCACAATTTCTCTCGAATCCTTTTTGCCTCCGATGATACTCCCGTAGTCCATTCAATCTGGATATAATTCCTAACATATTTTTCAAAAAGTCCTTCCTCCGTATTTTATAATTTCATCCGACTACTCCTTGTTTCCGACGATAAATCTCGTCGTCCTTTCTATCACGCACTTTCTTCCTTATCCGGATATAACCGTCCTCGTAATTTTCACCAACGTCCCTTCCTCGTATTTTACAATTTCTGTCGAATCCTTCTTGCCTCCGATGATACTCCCGTAGTCCATTCAATCTGGATATAATTCCTAACATATTTTTCAAAAGGTCCTTCCTCCGTAATTTATAATTTCATCTGACTACTTGTTTCCGACGATAAATCTCGTCGTCCTTTCTATCAGGTTTTAATTTCTATCATATTTTGCCCACAGTCCCTCCTCCAATCTTGCCCGCCTAATCCCTGTTTCCAACGATAACTCCCGTAGTCTTTTTTGTCTACATATAATTCCTATCGCATTTCTCAAAAAACACCTCCTCCGTAATTTCAATGAACCTCCTCGTAGTATTATATATCTAGATATAAATCCTTCTCGTATTTTTCAAAAAACATTACTTCGTACTTTACAATGCTCTCCGCTGAATACCATCCGTAGATTCATCTACGTACTTATCCCTATTTCTGGAGGTAGTGCCAAAAATCCTTCCTCCGTCTATCAAGTTTCTCTTGTGTTCATCCTTGGTTATTATATGTCCTAGTCTTTTCAATCGGGAAGATTTTTTCTTATTTCCGTTTCTTTTCTTTTGTTATTGACTTGACTGCGCTGTTCTATTTTCATTTTCTTTTCTTTTCTTTTCTTTTCTTTTCTTTTCTTTTCTTTTCTTTTCTTTTCTTTTCTTTTATTGCAATCATACTCGACTTATTCACACTTCATCATGCTTGCAAACAGCGATACAGCGAACTGGCGACATGCGCCCACACAGTACTCAAAGATATCG